CAATTGTGAACTTGGCCAAGGACCAAGCAGTGTTTCATTCTGTTGTGCATAAGGTCGCTATGAGTTGGTACCAACTCAATGGCACCTAACAACAACAACAAAGGTATAGAATGTTTAAAGAAGTTTGTTGCTTTATTGTTGTTGTTTTTTTTTCAAAAAATGCTATTTTGGTGTTAAAATAGATTGTGTACATCGAAATGTAACTTACTCTATATAATGTACCTGCTCTTTGTGAAAGACAGGACCGTCTTGAGAAACTGTTCTCACAGTCCTCCAGACGGCTGGCTTTCTTTTAATAAAGCTTGGATTGGACCCCCCTACACACACACATCCGGCTCCCTCAGTTATTTACTGCAGTGACAGGCAGCCAGCCCTCGTTTCAGTTTGGCAACAAATGAGACATTTTATTGACAGTATGTTGCTACAAAAAGTACATTGATCTCAACAGTTAGATTCCTATGTATTGGTTTGGACAGATTATGACGTCATATTATTTAGTACGACAAGCTAGTTTCAGAACAATGCGTATAAAATGATCTCACTTTCATCCATAAGTGAGGCACAAAAGGAAAACCACTAAATATGGGCATATGGTTTTTCAGTCTTCTGTACAGAAAGAAAAGGAAGTGTTCATTGGCACTATGTGGCACTGTAGGATGAGCACTGGACCACAGTGTCGGTTTGAACCGCAAGATCGGTGGTTCAAACCTACTAGTCACTCCTTGGAAACCCTATAAAGAGTGGCTGTGAGCACAAAAACAACATTGAAAGGCCGGGAGGCCACACCCCAGCCACGCCCCTCTCAGGCCCGCCCAGGTGGGGCGGGTCCCATCCCAGTCTAGCCCACGGATCAGTTACCCACTTCGTCCTAAAGGCTGTGACGATCCTCCCAGGGCACGCCCCGAAGGCGGGCCTAGCCTTAATCACCTCCCTTTCCGGTTTAGACACGTCCCGGATGCGCGGATTCGATCCTACTGCCCAATCGCGTCCTTGTGAGCGGAAACTAGAGATTTTCTGCCCCGAGATTGGCGGTTGTGGCCCGCCCTTCCAAGAGGTTCCGCCAATCACAAACCTGGCAGTGCCCCACCTTTTCCGCTCTCGGCGGGCCCGGAACCGGAACCGGAAATACCGTCCCTGGAGCCTGCGGCGGGGTCTGTCTCCTGGCCTCTCACCTCCCCTGAGGGCAGTTTGCGCCGCTCTCCAAGGCGGGGTCGGCCCCGCCTCTCCGTCGCGGCCGGGGCTCGGGTAGGCAGGCGGGGCTCGGGGGCGGTCACTGGAGGGGGCGGGTCGTGTTGCTGGCGGATCCCGTCTGGCCCCCGTGGAGGTGGCTCCGGAGGGCGACGGACCTCGGGGCCTGAATTGGGTTACTTAGCGTTTTCATCCCCAAGAATCTGGGACTCGCGACGGCCCCCGGACTCAGTTTAACCGGCGCCCATTCTGGGTTCCAGACTGGGCTTCCCGGAACCGGGCCCACTGCCATTCTGGGCTTAGTTTTTGCACCTCCCAGCGTCTGGTTCTCATATTTATAAATCGGGGAATTAATGTATGAGAAGGCCCAGAACTCTTCGTGCACATACTGCTATGAGTCGCCGGCTCTCATTTACTAATGCGAGTGTTACTTAGATATTTTTTTGTTTGTGGAGTCGGTTCCGACTTCTAGAGACCCTGTTCCCACGCTCTTAGGGTTTCCAAGGAGCAGTTGATGGGTTTGAATCACCAATCTTGTAGTTCAAGCCGATCTTGCTGTCCAATGCTTAAGGTGGGTTTGAACCAATCACCTGTGGTTAGCAGTCCAACATCTAACCCACAGCGTCACCAGGGCTTCGTGTATAACATGTTAAGTGCCATAGAGTCCATTGCGGCTGACAGCGACCCTTTATAGAACTTAGCAGTCCAGTGCTTGTCTTACAGCGCCACACCGGGATTCCATATACTATACATATAATGTTTGACATTTTATTTATACACACATACATACATATATATGTATAAAGGAGCTCTGGTAGCGTAGTGGTTACGAATCGGGCTGCGAACCTTAAGG